AATAAATTGTTTTCTTCTTAGCTTTACTGTCTAGTGAATGCCTACTTGTCTGCAATTGTGCATGTAAGCATACCTAAATGTTCCCCTGACTTTGCCTATCATTCCGGCTCCCCTTACCACGGCCCATCTCACCAAACGCAGTGGTGGAACTCAGTTGGAGCTACAAGGGATGGAGGTTAAGAAGAAGGCACATCAGGAAGCCAAAGGAGGACATCAGGAAGCAGGTGGTATGCAAAAAAAGAAGATATCTCCAAGAATGATCGTGAAGGCAGGCAGAATTCCTTGCATCATGCGCAGGTTGGCATTCCTTGATTGTGGATAACGTGTAAGTCACATCGCCCGAAAAAACAGCCAGCCCCAGGCTATGGTTGCAGACGCTTTGAGTAGCGCAGCCCCTGGCGACGAATGTAGTCCCGGTGGTCGCTGCAAGTAGAAAACCATGAGTCACATTTGAATGGGACCATCTTATATTGCCTTGGTTCTTAATTAGAGTTTGACCCCCTCCAGCAAGAGCTGGAAAAAATGAACTGTAAACCACTTCGTTTTTCCAGAGGTTTGTGGTGGTTCATGATTTGTGTTTCGTGATTCGCCATGAACTACGAACCATCACAGTTATGTGGTTCGTGCCCATCTCTAGTCATGGCTTGAACGCGGCAGTAATTTCAATGCCTCTTGTCTGTGTTTGAGTAGACCTACAGCCATCTACTGTTCTTTGCCCTTCCTTATCCTCATTGTGGGAAAGAACCCCGCTGACATTTAGCTGAGTTGCTCTGGAACAGGTTGACTGCTATCTGAGCGGGTTGTAATTTATTCCAAGGAACTTCCGTTCCCCTTCCATGTACCCCGTTTTGTTCCAAACAGTTCGTTGAAGACTTACCTCCATTTTCCAAGGAATTCAGCACACACGTGAAGTAGATACAGTGATCCTCGGATCCAACACAATCCACAGTCTTCTGGACTTCACATGAATCTGATTCTTGCATGTAGCAAGCAGGGCACTGAAACCCATTCCGTGTAGCATTGTTTACTGGGAATGCTAAAGGAGAGAGAAGGGGAAATGACCATAACAATGACCAATGGAGTGAATTTAACAAAGACTATAACCCCAGCTTGCCCAGAAACATAGAATAACTGAAACGTAACTAACTGTTGAGTTACTACCTACCCATTAGTGTAATGGGCTTACTTTAGTTAGGTCTAGGAATTTGGTTTAGACCTATGGCAGAGTAAACAGGGCATCAAAATCCCACATGATACAATTCTTGACTTTGTGTGTTGCTAAGGATAGGGGAAGAATCATTTTTGCTGAATTCCTACATAGATGGAAGCCCATCTATATAGATGGTCAATATGGTCTCTAATTTACAGAACATTTAAAGAAATCCTAAAGAACATCTTAGCTGAACCTGCAACTAACTGAGACATGTAGTACTCTGCATCCTTTCTAACTACTGTTGCTTTCATGCTTTGAGGGGAGAAGATATAGGGAGGCTATAATATAATGGTTCCCTGTCTTGGTTCCCCAGATATTCTTGGACTAAACCTATCAAAATCCTTCAACGCTAGCTAGTTGGTAAGGGGGAGCTTCAGTATAAGAACACCTGGAAACACAAAGTTAGGGAACTCCCAGAATCCTTCAGCACTATCTGGGCTGGCTAAGATTTCTGGGAGTTGTAGTCCAGGGATATCCAGGGACCCAAGGTTGGGAACCAGTGCTCTATCTGGATCTTTGTCATTAAATCAGATTTGGACTGGATAGTCCTTTGAAAAGAGGAGGATGTTCCTCTCAAAAAGACGACTTTTGGCCATCCTAACCTCTACTGTTATCAGTGGTGTGGCCCTGATAGTCCATGGGGGGCTGGAAATGCCAGGATCATGCAGGATCCCTTCCTATTGCCTCTGTCAGACCACTCCCTTCATCTCCTTCCCTCAGGTGGTGCCGTGTCTCCTCAGTCCGCTCCCGGCTTCTAAACCACCTTCTTTTCATGTATCCTAGAGATTCCCCAAAAACACATCTCTGGATGCTTTCCTTCCCACTCAGATGTAAACAAAGGAGCCATCCTCCAGCAAACTCACTCGGTGGCTTGGAAAACTTTGCTTCTCTCCTGCTCAACTGAATGTGTGTGTGTGTTTCACAGAATCCTACTGGTGATGAAGCGAGACGGTTAGAAGGGAGGCAAAGCCATTAAAACTACAGTAGGACACACACACACACACACACATCTGTGGGATCATTATTCACTGATTCACTTCTTTATGAAGGCCTCAGGAATGGACCTCAACAGATGGGAAACCATGACATCTGAGTGTTCAGCCTGGAGGCAGGCAGTACATTATGGCCTCTCCCAATTTGAAGAGATGCTTGTTCAGCAGGCCGAGGCAAAGAGACAGTCCCGAAACCAGTAAAATCAGGGAGCTGGACGGGGGACAGATTGGATTTGTCTTCATTGTGGAAGGGATGGTCACTCTCAAATTGGCCTTCTCAGTCATACTAGATGCTGTTCCAAAACCTCTATTCAGAGCATGTTACCCTAGTCTCTTGAGACAAAAGAATGCCTTCACTTATCTGCTACTGCCTGAAAATACTAAATAAAAATCCAGTGTGTGTTTACCAGAACTAGCCACTAGAGGGAGCCAGAGATAGCTTTTGATATGTCCACATTTTTCCGTATCTGGACGGTGGGAGGGGGGCTTGGAACCAATCCCCCACAATACCACAGTCCTACTATACACTATAATGGAGTGTGCGAATTTTTGTGCATGGGCACCCAGGAAGAAAGGGAGCACAGAAATCGAAAGTGTCTGTGTGCATGCAAGTCTCATGGAGACACCCTGCACTTCTGAATTTGCCACTACACTACAGGCAGTCACTTTCGAGTGTTGCCCTGTTGATGAGAAAATAAGGACTTTGTCTTACTCCCCTGCCTATTTCCTTCCGATTCTGATTCTGGTCGCATAACTCCGGAGCAGCCTTGGGTCACCCAGGTGTTCTTGGACTGCTGCTCCCAGAAACCCTGCCCAGCACAGCTGGTGGTGAAGGCTTCTGGGAGTTGCAGTCTAAGAACATCAGGGTTATTGTCAGTTGGGAACCACTGCTCTAAGGGGCATGAAAACCCAGCTTTGAGATTAGAATAAAGTGTGAGATACATGCATTTTTCCAGCTCCTCTTGCCAGCTTTCCTTTTGGCAGCACAAAGCATTTCTCTGCAGCTTCATCCCAGGGCCGAAGGTGATGGACTGGATGCCAGCTTTACAAGCGCTGTACTCTGTACAGGTCTTCAGGGTACCATTAAATCTTACTGAATCTAAGTCAGGAAGAAAGAGATTGGAAAGCAGGATATACATGGGTGCAAGGCATCTCCCTCCCTTTTCCTTATTTCTTAAAAAAATGTATTCATGAAATTCTAGAGCTGTGAGGCCACGCAGTAGCAAATATCATTCAAAGTACAGAACTAATTAACAGTGCTGAATTAATGTCGCACATAGGTTAAAGTGAAAAAGACACTTTAAGCAAACTGTGTATTTTGTGTTACCACAAAGTTTTCTCTCCAGACAGACATTCCCTTCAAAACTGCACACACAAGTCATTAGACTTGCAAATGAAACCCAACAATGGTTTCAACTGTAGACGGTCCTGTTGATCTGAAGTCCACACGGCAGTGATTGAATGAGTGCATGGAATCTGTGCCCTTCCACAGGCTGATTTTTCACATACTAGAGCTGCTGAGATCAGCAGAAAACTGTTGGCTATATTTGCAGGACAAATTACCACTTTTTAAAATTTAATTATCTTTGAACTGCAGAGATGGAAGGGACCCTATAGATCATCAAGTCCAGCCCCTGTCAAGGAGGCGCAGCAGGGAATCGAACTCCCAACCTCGCCAGATGCCTAAACCATGGAGCTATCCAGCAACTTTACTCAGGTGCTTGGCTTTTAAATCAGATAAGGGAAACGGTTATTGCAGAATAAATGAGCTGATGCAATAAGAAATTTGGGATAGACTGTTGGTCTCTGGGCGATGTCGAGCACTTCCTAACAGGTTTCTGTTTCTCAGCTGTATTAGCTAAAAAGCCTTTCCACTACCCCCAGAGAGAACCTTAAAGAAAAGAGCTTTTAGGATACGCTAAAAAGCCTTTCCACTACCCCCAGAGATATCCTTAAAGAAAGGAGCTTTTAGAGTATTTATTTATTTATTTGGCTTTTATACCACCTATCTAGATAAATCTACGCTGAGTGGTTTACAATCCAAAAAAATTCAAATTCAAAACATCAATAAAACAAGCAAACATAATTCAAGATGGAAAATCCAGGAGAAGAAAGTAAGAGATGTCAGGAAGGAAGGTTTGCCTCAAGAGCCAGGTCAGTTTATTCTTAAAACTCCAGGCGAGGGAGCCAGGCAGATCGGGTGGTCTCTTGTACAGAAGGACTTTGGAGATTGTTCCTGACACTGATCACAAATTCCCCAGCTGAAGATATGTTCCCATCCTTAATTCTTAGCTGATTTCTACCTGCATGAGCTGCTTTATCTTATTTGTCTCTGATCAGTGGATTGGAAAGGTCTAATTGAACAAAAATGGAAACAATCAGAAGATCCCACAAACCTTTTCCCCTCCACTTTCTTTTCCTTTACAGTACTATGAGCACCTACCCTTCATAAGAAGTAATTCATCTTATTAGCCTGCTGCACTTTGACAGGAGATTCCTGCACCTCAGTGCAGAACTATGGACAAATAGACCCTTAATAACCTCCATCCGATTTGTGGGCGGATAAACTTTGGAAATGACTGGTTGGTTGGTTGGTTGGTTGGTTGGTTGGTTGGTTGGTTCCTTCATTCACTCATTCACTCATTCACTCATTGAAGAGTTTCTTGCTTGATACTGCTGATGCCACTGGGAAAAATTGCAACAACAACAAATATATTGGCAGATTGGCCACCATTTCAAACACCACCATGGATTTCATGGTATTCTGAAGCCTTGTGAGATTAAAAAAAAACCCTCTGTTTTTGGTGTTGTTTTTAAAAGAGGTGAAAAAGTGTGGCAGAGTTTTGAATGTCTAGTAAAATTCCTTTTGCTACACAGTAGACATACGGAGACTGGAAGTTCTCCAGGTAGTTCAATCCTTTCTCATTAACTGGCAGTTAAGTTCTCAGTAACTCACTCTGAGACATTCATAGGAGAATGAATAAAATGTTTCATTACTTAGCAGCAAACAAAACAACTGCTTCCAACAGAGTAAAGAGAGGCGGGGCCATCTTTTGAATTCAGAGGTGAGAGGGAGTGATTGGTTAGTGCTGAATGGATTAGTCAGCCCAGCCCAGAAAAGTCTCCCACGAGTACTCAAACCACAGGCAGCATATGAGGTTGCAAAGAGAACTCCAACAGAATGTGTGTTTCCTTGGCGGGAGAAGATTTTTGGAAGGAAGGAAGGAAGGAAGGAAGGAAGGAAGGAAATTTTAACTGTTCCACAAGAAATTTCAGTTTAGTTCTAGGTCAGTGATGTACCAAATGACTGACATCAGTGTCTGATCCATGTAGCCTACCAAGAATGGCCTCCCCTACGATGGTCCCACATGTATCTTCACCCAAGAAGCATTGTTTCATCTTCCCATCACAACTGTCCCCAGGAGCTATGCAATCTTCACAAGATACTGGGTGCACTGTAAGGGAAAGAGTTATGCTGTTATATGCTGTCATGTCGCATCCAACATATTGTGACTCTAATAAAGGTGTTCAAGGTCTGCAAGATATTTAAGAAGTGGTTTTACCAGCGCCAGTCTCTAGTGACTTTCTGTGGCCAAGCACAGAATTGAACCCAAGTGTCCTGAGTCCTAGCCCATCATTCTATCAATACACTGCACTGGCAGCTCATGGGGCGAGGGGGAATCCCAATGGAGTTCACGTAAGTGTTGACTTATTCAGCAAGTGACTCAATGTGTCTACAGTACTCTTACTTCTGACTAGCAATAGGATAAAAAAGAAGGGATGCACAAAAGAAGAGAGAAATGAGAAAGCAAGATGCAACATCTCAACAGCATCTCAACAGTCCAATGAGCTCAGGATCAGCCATCCTGACCCCACATTTTCTCTATCTCTCAGACTCATGTTGAGCTAGTTAGGGCTTGGGTACAGAGTTCATTTGGAGCAGGTTGACACAAACTAAATAGGATTGCTTCGAGTCAGCTAGTGCTGGCTGGATAGCTCAGCGGTTGAGGTATCTGGCTGTGGAGTCAGAGGTTGGGATTTTGATTCCCTGCGGTCACTCCTACGCATAGAGCCAGCCTGCCTTGGGCAGGATGACTCCAGGAGGAGGGAATGGGAAACCGCTTCTGAGAATTCTCTACCCAGAAAACCTTGAAATGGTCATTATAAGTCAGAACTGACTTGAATTACTACTACTACCACTACTACCACTACTACCACTACTACTACTACTACTACTACTACTACTATAATCAAATAGAGATGCCATGTGGTGTGATTTTTGCATCCACGTAGCAGACATATCTCTAGCAACCTTATATTGTCTGCATTGTTAAAGAAAAGTTGTAAAGAAAAAAAATCCCTTCTTGCTCTGTTCTCTCACTTCGAGGAAGAAAATCTTTAAAATGTACAGTGCATCAGTGCTGCCCTGCTTGGTTTTTTTTTTTAAACTTTGCTTCCAGTGAGGAATACAGGAAAGAAAGAAAAAAAGAAAAATTGAAATTACCTTTTGCTCATTTTCCCAATTTCCCAATATTCTTAAGGGGCTGAGCTGTCTATTTAAGCTGCTTAAATAGGGAAATTGAAAACAGCTGGGAAATTAAAAACAGAAAGTCCCACTTTAGTTCATTTCCAGGAATTGAATACCCGCAGCTAAAAAAAAAAAAGACTAGCTCCTTACAGAGACTCAGAAAGGTGTACCAGCAATGCTCTGGCAATGGGCTGGTTTGCTCTAGCAAAAATGGAGCCTGATTGCCAAGAAAAGGAGCAAACCAATCTGGCTAAATGTCAACGTAGTAAGGGTGATGATGACGCATGAGTCTAGGTATGGGTATGGGTGTGGAAGAACAGGGTGTGTCCATCATGTGGCACTGCCAACCTTAAGCATTCTCCTCTTTTTATTCTTTTCCCTAAATGGTCAATCTGAATCTAATGGTGATGGCTGTAAAAAAAAATGAAGGACCAACTATTGTTATAGGCAAAGGCTTAAGGCAGTTTGCAGTCTTCCTGTCCTGCTACTGGACCTCTTAAACAGAACACACACACACACACACAGAGAGAGAGAGAGAGAGAGAGAGACTCAAATGTTGAGGAACTTGAAGACTGTTCTGTTTCAACGTGAGCTTTTGTAGATACATTGCAAAAGTTCACATTGAAGTATAACAGTCTTTACGATAGCATTTTGGATAGCAGTTAAAAGCACATCACGTTCTGCTAGTCTCACTGCATCCTGACAGAGAAACAATGACATTTCTGTATGTGGAAATGACTGTATGATTCAGACAACGGCATTTATGCCATTCCTTGTGTTTTAAAATTCTGCTACACTAAAGTACCTCAGCCAGTAAATATACTTTACAAGAATCTTCCAAGTAGTTTCAAGCATCAAATATATTTAAAATTGCTGCATGTTTTTTCCAGTTGTACAGCTGCCCTAATTATTAAATATTAAAATACTGCTTTGCAGCTGTAGTGCTATCTATTCTAAAGCATTAAATGAGCTACATGGAAAAATGGGACTTTAATTTTTTCCTTTAGGGCATGAGGGATGGGAGATGCAGGAAAATGTATCTTAAGCTGATAGTGATCTATCAAGCCACTGTAACTTGTAATACAATTGCCTTTTTGAGGTTCATCCTTTTGCCATTCTCCGAATTGCAGAAGTAATCTACTCAGAAGCAAATTCGATTGAAACCTAAGAATGTGGGGCCTCCACCTTTCCAGGGCCTTGTACTTCAGTTGTCCTCAGCTCAGTTTGGAATTTGGCTAGTGCTTCTGTGTTTTTCATGCAAGCTTTTTTGGCAAGGACCTCCATTGTTTTTGGATAGTTTTGTACCACCTTGTAATATTGGTACAAGAGTGTCAGGGATGTTTCATGAATGCACATGATGAATTGCTCCCCTCCCCCCAGGAAACCTTTGTTTCTCCCTGCCCTGCAGCCATGCACAACACTGGAAGTAGCAATCAGCTGGTTGGAAATTCAACTGGTAACAATCCAGCATTAGCCCTTGGGCAAAACATTCTAGCTGGAGACTGCAGAAGCTCGAAGACTTTTGCACAACAGTTGTCCTTTTTGAAGGATCCACATGAGCAATCACAAAGCAAATTAAAGTGTGCCTACATTTGCCATTAACACTCCAATTTGCATCAGATTAGTCACTGCTGAATTTGAATGAATACCCAGTGAGTACACAATATAAAGCTCAGTGCTAGGAAGCCCATTGTGGAATAGTATCTTTTAATCTGGGAATAATCCCTTTTAGTGTTGCAGAGTTTTGAACTTCTGGTAAGATTCTTTTTGCTACACAATAGTACAGTGATCCACAGAGAATAGATGGAAAGTTCCCCCGGATTACACTCCTTTCTCATTAACTGGCACTTAAACTCTCAATAACTCACTCTGGGACAATTGTGGGATAAAGAATAAGAAATGTTTATTTACAGTTCCTTGAAATTGCAGACTTGTGTATACTGTTTTTTACTGCACACATACTAGCAACCGACTCAACAGTTCAAAAGTAAACAAACAGCTGCCACCAACCAATGAAAAGGAGAGATAGAACAGTCAGCAGAGAGGTGGGGTCTCTTTGAATTTCCAAAGCTGGAAGGAATTATTGGTTAGTACTGGAGATGGGAACAACTCACAATTTTGGTGAGTCGTCCTGCTTCGTGAGTTGTCAAAAGTTGGTGACTCACAAAGCATGAAGGTGCCCCCATGAAGTGACAAATAACAAAGTTATTTGTTGATTTGTGGGGGGGGGGGTTATTTTATTTTTAAAAAACTGCATAGGAAATGGTTATGCTGTAGATGAGGGGTCTCCAAACTATGGCCCGTGGGCCACATCCAGCCCTCCTTGCCTTTTTATCCAGCCTGGTCCGGTATGCTAGGGGTCTGTGACTGCGAAAGGGTCAATCTCACCACCACATGTCTTGGCGGAGGCAAAGGGAGACCACAATACAAAACCACCATTAACGAGGGCTTGTGGGGGGGAGAGAAGGAAGTGGAGGAATGGAAAGGTGTCCCTTGAAAGCAATCCTGGGGTTCCGCTCCACTACTTTCCTTCCAGCAATGGCGTGTCCTCACCTGGGTCGTCTGCCAGCCTTGCCCGCCTGCCCTTCTGCCCCATAACAATCTTCCATCACCAAGGCAACCACCTGCCATGCTCCCTCCCAGCCCTGCCGGGAAAACACAAACCAATCGCAGGGCACTACGCCACGTGACCCACCCAGGAGGTGGCAACGCTCAAGACTCGAGGAGATGACAGGGAGGCAAAAGTTTGCTCACTCTTGCTGTGTGTGTGTTTTCTCTGAGAGGGGAGTCACCACCCTAGGGAGTCCCCCTCCTTCCCAAGGGGGCTGCCCTTAGTTGCTGTGGGGGCTCATTGTGCCCCCTTCCCTTCCCTCCCTCCTCCTTCCTGTCCCTCTACTCTAAGCCCGGGTGGAGGTGGTCAAGATGCCAATGTAGAGTGAGTGCATTACAGTAGTCTAATCTCGAGACTACGAGCACATGGACCAGAGTGGTGAGCATCTCAGCATCAAGATAGGAGCACAGCTGGGCAATCTGCCAAAGACGTAGATGGGCGCTATGGACCATAGACGCTACCTGGGACTCCATGGTAAGTGCTGGGGCAAGATGGATCCCGAAGCTGTGGACCACACTCTTTGTGGTGAGAGTCACACACACACCCAAAAAGAGCGGAAGGGTGACCACCCTCAAAACCTCTGTTTTGTCCGGGTTCAACCTCAGTCCATTTTCTTGCATCCATTGCAGTACAGCCCCCAGGCAGCGCTCAAGGCATCCATCCATCCATCCATCCATCCATCCATCCATCCATCCATCCATCCATCCATCCATCCATCCATCCATCCATCGATTGGTCAGTCTGTCTGTCTGTCTGTCTGTCTTGATCCTGTATATGTCACAGAATTTTTTAAACATTTGATAACTGGGTTTTGTTGAGTGGCCTTGAAATATTATGCCCAAGAGTTATGCCCAGAAAAAACAAATCTTTTCAAAACACTGAGTCTTGCACCAAATACTGTTGCTCAAAGAACTGAAGCTGTAGGAGGCATTATAGTTCATGAAATTGTGGGCAAAGCAAGAGGTTTTCTGTTCTATTCTCTTGCGCTTGACGAATCAATTGGTGTGTGTGATACATCTTTGGCCCTCGAAAATATGTAAAATATATGATGTGGGTCTCGTATTGAATAGTTTGGAGGCCCCTTGCTGTAGATGAAATAGACTGAGTTCTCCATCCCAGAGATAACTGTGGATCACACTCAGATACGTGTAGCCAGGTGACCTTTATTAATATTTAAATCTGTATCCCACTTCTTTTTTTTTGAATAAGCATTAAAAATATCAGTTTGCAACTGGATCGTCATTATGCCTTAAGCTGTCCAAGATGCTAGCTGGCTCTTTCTTCATCAGGAAAAGATTTTCACCGCAAAGACG